TCGAGCAGATCCAGACCTCGGATGGGCCGAGAGGACGGGAGAGAGAGAGTTCAGACTCTGAGTCACAGCGAGCCTTTTCGACCCCACAGACTCATGAGTCAAATGAATAAAAAGCAGAAGGACACAAGACCAGCGGGGGAAATACTCAAATGAAGCACTTTGCACTTTCTGTGAAAACACAGACGGGTTGTTTTTTCTTTTTCTTGGATGAACTCGCAGGTTTTTTTTTTCTATCCCAGAATGCATCTCTTCACTGCTCTGAGTTTTGGGGTCTTTGCTCAACGGATGAGTTTGGTGGAATGGAGACAGTGGTGAGGTTCAGGGAGTTCAGAGAGGATGAAGCAGCTCCACATCAGAGGGACGAGCTGCCTGAAACGGACAATTCGTCGTCAGAGTCGGAGAGCTTTTGAATTTAAATGTTTGTATTCTTTAGATTATTTTAGATATCTTAACTTTCCTCTAACTGTGTTTTTACATCTTTATGCTGTGAGCTTGTTTGTCTCTTACAGCAGAGGGACTTTGAAACGTCTACACACAGAAGATATTTAAAGTATGCAGTGAGTGTGTTATCAGGAGCAGACAAAGACCTACATGAGATCTTTTGCGTCCCTCCTAGTGGGGCCCGGACCACAGGTTGGGAAACGATGCTTCAGATGATACGCTCACAGGATATTAACCGTCCCATGATAAGATTAAAAAACCTTTCAGGAGCGTCACCGAGACTCAGGACGAATCCTTCATGTCGTATTATTTATCAGTTTATTTATCAGGGACCCTACAGATAGGTCTCTCTCTCTCTCTCTCTCTCTCTCTCTCTCTCTCTGTCTCTCTTTCTCTCTGTCTCTCTCTCTCTCTCTCTCTCTCTCTGTACAAGGTATTTATTGTGTTTCAGTGTTTTTTGGTGTTTTGCTGGCAGGAAAATATTCAGGGAAAAAACTTCATGACGTTTGTGTTTTCGCGTGCAGCTCATCTCAAAGAATTTGGGAAATTTCAAGGACTTTTTTTGCAAGTGTGAAAATAGACGATGCACATGGGTGTGTGTGTGTACTTATATGTACTTATAGTTATATTCACATCTCGTGTTAATTGCTCTTTTAATATGTTCATAATTTCCTGTTGGGACATTTACTTTTTCTGCTCTAAAATGACCTTTAACCTTGGATCTATTTTCTCTTAAACCCTGATGATTGTTAGTTTTGTGTGTTTGATATTTTGCCTTTTTGAAGAACTTTGAGACTTTTAATAAAGTTCATGTTTGAATAAAAGCTGCAGCGTTGTAAGCCAGCATGCAGCATGTGAGCGGTCTGTGATCCATCATGTCCACTCAAGTGATAAATCACATTCATATGACGTTAACGTCTTTCTCTGTGGTGACTTCTTCAGAGAGACGTTGTAGATCAAAGAGTAATAAAGATTGATTTTTAAAAGAAGTGTGGATGAATATGAACTCTCTTTGTGAAGACTTAATAAAGCTCATCACACTCGATGACGCACACAAAGAGGAGGAGAGGAACGAAGCAGAGCTGGCAACTTTTACCTCCTTCAGGGTGGAAAATTGATGTGCAACACACACACACACTCACACACACACTCTCTCTCTCTCTCTCTCTCTCTCTCTCTCTCTCTCACACGATCCCGGGGTGTCCAACTTGCTTATTTTATCAGGTGCAAAGACTTCTCCCCCCGTCTCCCCCGTCTCCCCCCGTCTCCCCCCTCCCCCCGTCTCTGTAACAGTTTGTCTGCTTCACTTTCTCCTCTTGTAGCAGAAATAAAATCATCAAAAACACAAAGATTCCTCCTTCATTCATCTTCAACCTTCATTCAACTGTCTGATCGTGTTGTGTGCAGAGAAATTCTTCAGCTCCTCCAAACTGCAGCTCGTTTTCACTGTTTAAAAGCAAAAGGAAAACATATATGTGGAGCCGTATGTTTGACTTTCCAATCAGATAAGCTGTAATAACATGAGAGCTGATGTTTAACCGCAGCTCGGCCGCACTGTTTGAGATTAGCTGCACAAATATTAGACATTTGGTTTGAACTTGAAGAAAGAGGAAACCTCAGGACAGATTGGATTAAATCTGTGGAGAAAGGAGGAGAGAGGCAGTGAAGCGGGACGCTCCATCAGGTACCAATCTTTCTGATTTGTTGGGGAGCGTGCCGCCCCCCGTCCCACACCCTCAGCTCGGTGATCCATCTAAAGCAGAGAATTAAATAAATACATCCATGCTCGGGAAACCCAGAATTATTATTTTTCTGCCGTCCTCCTCACTGCAGAGCAGAACTGTGTCGTCTTAAACGAGAGAGACAGAGAAAAATAAATCAGATCATCGTGCATTAGAGGCACAGAGAGAGAGAAAGGGCCACACGACGGGATGTGTGTTTACTGAGTGAAATCACGGAGAGAGAGGGAGCTTATTTGTTCAAGGTTTAGGTTGGAGATTACAGTTTGATGCTGCAGAGCGTTTATGGTCTATAAACGGGAACAAAGACGTTAAAAAGCGGTCGTAAAGTGAAGTGTTTAGATTCGTTTCAGGGACAAATAAAAAGCAGAGACGTTTATCGGATAAAGTAAAGATCTCCTACACGTATGAACCCTCTCTTCACATACTCTTTTTTTTCTTCTCTGCATAAATTGTGAATCTGCTGCATGAACACCAAGGCCGCCCATACGGGGGGAAAAGGGGGAATACTTTCTGGGGCTGGGCTCCTAAATTTAAGCGTGAAAAAAACATTTTATTTTTACACCAAAATACTCAGTTTGTTTTTAACTTTCTGTTTCAAAATGCAACGCGCCCCCCCCCCCCCTTCTCTTTCTTTTAGTTTGTGATGTTGACGTTCCGGGCGCGCCCCTCTTCAACTTGAAGGTTGAAGGAGTCGGACTTTGTAAAACCTCACCAGGAGCTGCACAAAGAACCAGAAGGCAAGGACATCTGACCTCAAGGCAACAACAACCTGTTAACAAACTTCTTGCTGTCAGCTCCAACAGCTGATCGGATCCAGGACCAGGATGCAGATGTGATCCAGGAGGAACACGCACTGATCTGATTAAAGGACGTCTGCAGAGGGTCCAACTCTCTGACTTTACACATTTCTTAGTTGAGTTTGATGTAACCGTTCTCTGTAAAGCACGACACAGTTTGCTCTTTCTGCATTACTGTTTAAATCAGTGGTTCTCAACTGGGGGGTCGGGACCCAAAAGGGGGTCACCCAGACATTTCCAGTAAGTCGCAAATGTGTCTCTGCAAAAAAAAAAAAAAAATCCTCAAAAAGTCTCTGAAGCACTTTTTTTAAACGAGTCGTTGTGTCGCTTGTTTTGCACATTTTATTTTTCATTTGATAAATTTAGTGAGTCAGATATGAGGGTCCCAACGTCTCATGGGGGGAGTTGATGGTTGGTCTTCCTGAGGCCAGACCAGTTGAGCAGCACTGGTTTGAATCCTTGCTGCACTTTGTATATTTGATATGAACGGTACGGAGCCCCTGAAGTCCTAAAGAGTTAAAAACAAAAACTTCAGGGGCTTTGATGAATTGTTCGGTATGTAGCTCCTACTTTTTTTATTTTCTTTCTTCATGTTGAGATGCATGAGGCGTGAGGGGGGGTCAGGGAGATGAGGGGTGTATACACTGGTATTTAAAATACTCATGCATCCTTGATTTATTTTCTGTAAAAGCACGATGACTATAAGAGAATAAAAGGACGATTTCGAGGAACATCTGTGACGATGAATCGAGGATGCTAAATACATTTTTTTTAAATTTAGAAACAGATTAGAAACAAGCCGACAGACAGATGGAGACCAAACAGAGATTTTAGAGTTAATGTTGATGAAATCTTTGTTTTTGTTTTTCACTTTGTCGTCTGAATTGTTTTTGTTTGTTGATTTTTGTTCTGAATGAAGTCTATGAATTTATATTATTTACATCAGGAATAAACAACAACAAGGAAGACAACTACAAACTGATTCAGCGTGACCGTCTCAGAGCGATCTAATAAAATGTCTTCATTTCAATCAAACAGAAATTCATTTAAATAAATTTAAATCTGTTTGATTTCACAACAAACTATGAACTGTCTTTCAGTCTCTGCTCAGTCTTTTATTTCAGCTTTAGTCTCAGAAATTCATTTAAATGTGTTTTTGTGATTTTCTGGATTTTTTTTAATCTAAATAAAAGATTTTATAGGAATAAAAATGTTGGATATATTTTCATCTTTAACTCGTTTTTTTAAAGGATAATTTAAAAAAGTTAAAGTACATGACACAAACACACACACACACACACACACACACACACACTCAGTCACACACACACACACACTGCTGCTGCTGCTTTTCCCATCACTTTGCATCAAGCATGAAAAATACACTTTGTAAATTAAGATTTTTCGTTTTCCTTTTTTAAACACGTTTTTTTTCTCTTTTATATTTTTCCTGTTTGATAAATTTAAAAAGGTCAAAGACAGTTTTTATTAATAATTCAGATTATAAAACTTCTTCCTCATAAATGTGATCGTGTCTGATTTTTTTTTAACGTTCAGTGGAAATAAAAACGATTTAATCCCGAGAAGTTTTTAGTCTTCATAGATTATTTCTGCATTAATTTCTTTTACAATCTTATTTTTATTTGATATATTTTCCAGTTTCTTTACGCATTTATACGTCATCACGTTTAGATTATTGTTGTTTTGATTAAATTAATTTAGAGCAGATAAATAAAACAATCAGCGTGTTTTAGTATTTATCTGCTGCTTCATGAACACCTGGATGTTTACAAAAATAAATCTGAACGCGAAGATTTAAATATTCACTTTTATTTTACCCAAAAAGAAAAAAAGCAGGAATCTCGTCTTTTAAATATTTGAACAAAGGATGATATTCAAGATCAAAAAATCAGAAAGCTCAAAGTTTGTTTTTTTTTAAGAGAAGGAGAGAAAGTTTTTAAAAATATTTACAACATTTCTTTGAAGCAGATCCATCAGCTGTCTTCGCTCAAACTGTCTCTGTTACCTGAGAAAAAGTCAAACTCCGGCTCGACGATTATTCGGTTACTCGTTGGTCGCAGTGCTGATGTGTTTGAGCAGCTCGGAGTCCCGCTGAGTCCGTAATTTGTGATACTCCTGCTGTAAACTGAGGAGGTGCGGGGACGCTGCGGGGTGGAAGAGCGCGGGGGAGGCGTAGGCCAAGCTGGAGGTGAGAGGAGGGGAGTACGCGGCACACTGAGCCGGGGAGAAGGCATCGATGCCCGGCTGCGCCTGGAAGAACGCCTTGGCTGTGAGCGCGCTGCGGGAGAAGAAGCTGGAGAGCGCGGGCAGGAGGCTGCTGACAGGTGGGATGGTGGTGCACGGGGAGGGCGGGTGCTGGTGGAGGTAGGGGTAAAGCTCCAGCCCGGGCAGCTGCAGCCCGTAGGCGGCGTGCGGGAAGCCGTGCAGTCCGCTGGGCTCCAGGTGCTGCTCCTTCAGGGGGTCGAAGCGGAAATGCTGCCGCTTGAAGCGCTTCCTGCGCCGCAGAAAACTCCCGTTCTCAAACATATCCGAGGAGTTGGGGTCCAGGGTCCAGTAGTTGCCCTTGCCAGGGTTCCCGGGCTCTCTGGGCATCTTTACGAAGCAGTCATTCAGAGACAGATTGTGCCGGATGGAGTTCTGCCAGGCGGGGAACTTCTCCTTGTAGTACGCGAAGCGCTGGCTGATGAAGTCACAGATCTCGCTGAGGGTGAGCCGCTTCTTCGGACTCTGCAGGATGGCCATGGTGATCAGAGCGATGTAAGAGTACGGAGGCTTCACGGACGCGGGACCTTTGCTGATAGAGGGCGGGCAGGTCGATGCAGGACTGAAGGTGTCCCCCTCCGTGCTCAGACTGCTGCAGGTCTCGGTGCTGCGCTCCTGCTCATCCAAAGGTAAGATCTGCTCCTCTGCGCTGTCTCTGACTCCTTCCCCCACTACGTCGATAACAACATCCTCCATGATGTCCAAACCCAATGTCATAGTAGAAGTCCGCGGGGGAAGCCAACACCACCTGCCAACAGGTGGGGGAGTGACAGCTCTGCTCGGAATCGCGATCAACAGATTTTCACGCACGACTCATCTCCATTCACAAAAAAAAAGTAAAAACCAAAACACATCCTTCTCCAGCTTTTACGGAAGTTTACTCTCCAAAACCGCAGCTCATCCAAACCTTTTGTTTCCTTTGTTTTTGTTCCTTTAGAGCTCAAAGCGGCGGTCAGCAGGCGACCGTGCGTAAAGCGTAAAAGTGTGTGCGTCCTCTGTGATGTCCAGCATCATCTGTAATCTCTGCTGCGTTCCTGCGGGTCGAGTGGATGTGATGTCACGTCGAGGCACCAGGAAGAAGATCCTGACCAATGAAAACGCCGCAAAGGGTACCAAGCAGGCCCAGATACCAGCCTCCACGCGCGCTCTCATCATCTGCGTAGCTGTGCCAAAACGACGAGGACTTTACAAGATCCATTCATGAAAATATCCGAGTGAGAGGGACAGCAGAGGAGGAGGATTTTATAGAGGAAAACTCGCTCTTTAATTCAAGATGAATATTTAAAGTGTACTTAAAAAAAATCACATCAATAAATGTAGAAAAAAAATAGGGAATAAATTAAGGAATATTTTTATTTCTTGCGTAAAAATATATTTCTTTTTTTTTTGATGATCCTGAATTTAACGTCATTCATTATATATCAATTATTCCAAAAAGTCTCCATTTAAAAAATGTTCTCCACCCCTTAAAGCAGATTTATCTTAAATAAAGATGAGACGAAATTCAGTTTAAAACGTTGGTGTGAAAATCTGCTTTTGATTTTATTTCCATTTCCAGACAGAAAAGAATCAAATCAACAAACTGTCACCGGCCGTGTTGATGTAAATATATATATTTTTTAAAGGAATATAAATAGGACTTTAATTTGAGAATGAGTTGATAGACACTTTGGGGACATCAGATCACCGTCCTGATTTTAAACACTGAGGGGGAAACACCTCTCTACGTGAGGCAGGGGCTTACTCCCTAATCCCCGCGGAGGCTCCTGCAGCCGCTCTTTACGCACAAGTGAAACACAATTACACGTTTTCAGAAACTCAACAGAGGATGAAACTGGAATGACTGATTTTGCTCTGCAGCTGAAAATAATAATTTGTTGCCTGCATGCATGCACTCACGCCAGCTGCTTTGATTAACGTTTTTTTAAAATGTACAGTCTCGTGCTTCTAAAAGGGAATATGGATAAATACGAGCATGTGTGAGATGGAGCAGAAATAATATTTGATGTGTATAACCTGAGAGAAATCCACACCCTCTGTTCTCCTGACGAAATCCTCCGTAACCCCCCGTCAGATTATCTTCTTTAATAATGGGCAGCTGAAGGCAGAGTGGTAATATCGGGATGAAAGTGGAAGATTTTCACTCGCTCAGACATAAAAGCGGAGTGAGGAGAGGAGGGCGCTTTTGGTATTGTTGGGAGGCCTCTGGTTGTTTGTGTTTAATGATGGAGCCCTTTGTTGGGGATTCCCACATTTCCTGCCTCTAATCGTATTGATACCTCGGGGCACAAGGGGGACCGGGGTCCGGACTGGGTGGGCTATACGGTACCAGCAAAGCTGCAGATGATTTTGCAAATTCATCACGCATGTCCTCAGATTGGAAACAGGCCCTCGCGCGCGCGCTGTGTGGTTCCAATAAGGCGCGAGGAGCAGGAGCGTCAAATGTGTGCGAGAGCTGAAGGTATGGCACAGAGCTTTACATCTGAGACACACACACACACACACACACACACACACACACACACACACACACACACACACCAGGACAGCACATCCTCCGTCACTGCTGTCCTGCTCACTGAGTGTTTCCTGATGTTTCATTCACAGATACAGCCTGCACATTTTTTATTTCTGCTGATTTTATAAGCACCCTATCATAAAAAGCTACGCAACATTAAACGTGTTGCTCAGTTTGAGGCGTTTTTTCTTCATGTATGTTCATAAAAAAAAGAACAGAATGCAGCAACAACAGAGCCTTTTTACCCCGCAGACGCATTACGCACACATCCTAACAAAAAACAAATGTTGCTATCGAACACAAACGACCATTGTGGAGATCTCATTTGTCCTGCATCTCAGCTGAGGAGGTGGGAGAGGAGTCAGGGGGTGTAATAATAACATCATTTGGCACAGGCTGAACCGGCCTGCGGGATCTTCTTGGATCATTCTGGATAAATGAACCTCCATCCGTGCGGGTCAGACGCAGAGGCTTTGGATGAAGCTGTTACGGCGCTACTTCAGTTGAAATGTTTTCTTATCTCAGTGGAGGAAAAAAAAAAAAAAGAAGGAGAAGAAGAAGCGAAAGCTGAAGCCTGTTCGCATGATTCAGAGAGTGATGTTTTTCATTGGGAGCGGCTTCAAAGAGAGAGAGGATGTTTTCACATCATCTCTCATCTTGATTCTCTTAAAGAATCTTGGCAGCGCAGTGGACAATAATATAACGTGTAATTTAAGGTATCATGAATCATAAGTGTATGAAACAAAGTACGCAGAGGTGCTGCTGAGCCAAGCACACATCTGAAGCACACACACACACACACACACACACACACAGAGAGAGAGAGAGAGAGAGAGAGAGAGAGAGAGATACGGTTTAGAGAAAGGATGGACTACATGTGTAAATTTCACGAGCTGCACTTGGTCATTAACGCGATATTTATGAGCTGACAAACGGCTCTATAACATGAAGTAAGTGATGCAGCCTGTTCTCTGCATCCCATCATCTCACCGTGCCGCTGTCTGGGACTACTTTACCCACCTCACTGTGTTGTTTGTGCAGTTATTTATTTATGAGGAAAGATGACACGACTGGAAGAAGAAGAAGAAGAAGAAGGCCCGTCAATCACAGGACAGCGCCGCGGTGACTCAGTGGCGACATCTGGTGGTGGAAAACCGAAAAGCAGCTAACGGCACATCTGTGAAGGGTGATAAATAACTCAAAACACCTCTAAGTCTCACGAAAAAACAAAAATATAGTCAAATAAATGATAAAAACGTCTTAAGAGCGTAACATATGAACATTAAAGAGAGGGCAGGAGTCACTGCAGGCCTGTTATAAACTACAGTAGCCTACCAAAAAACGTCAAAACTGATAATTTTCCTTCAAAAAAATCTGTTTTAAAAGGCTACTGAACATCATACATGGCTGTATTTTAATTAAGCTTGGCTTAAGCAGTGCATAGAGGTTATAAAATATGTTTTAAAAAACTTTTTTTTAAAGTCTAGGCTATTTTGTGTCATGCTGTCTTGTCTCCTTTTTTGTATGTTGTTGTTTTTTTGTTTTGTTTTTATACTGTTAATGTTATGTCTATATGTTTGTCTTTTGTGTGTGTGTGTTACTGTGTTACTAAATGAAAATGCAAATAAAAATATTGGTTTAAAAACAAAAAACTCATCAAATAACGTAAAACAAACAAAAATAAACAAAAAAAAGCCAGTTATCAAACTTAACACTTCTTAAAAACTGAACAAAACATTCAAAATCCACGACAAGACAGTTGAGTTATTACAGAGCCTTTAGCCTATCTTCATTCAAGCCAGTAACATAAAAAATAAAACCAAGCAGAAGTTTTAATTTTGTTCAAGGCTACACCACTTTAGTTTTTTTCCTTCCTTCAGAATGTGTGCAGTCTCACTGTCTCAGAATATTTAACATGTTTTCAGGTAAAGGTGGTAAAGTATTGTAAAATATAGACTAAATGAGTATCCTACAATTCATCATAATTGATAATGCTACATCAAAAGAGCACTCACTGTGTGCAGCCCCCTCACTCTGACATCTCTGTTTGTGCATGTGTGTGTGTGTGTGTGTGTGTGTATCACATGAACGTGTGTGTAGCATGTCTCAATAACAGTGTAAAAGTTGTGTGAACGCAGCCTCAGCTGATATTTAATGAAACAGAACTTTGTGTGTTTTGCTTCCCCTGAATGTTAATGACATGTATCTGACCCTGACAGACCGTCTTTAATCTACAAACCTAATCACAACAGTTTCTGAGAATAGGAGCCATGTGAAGGACTTATAAAGTGTTTAGACACAAATTGCTCAAGCAGGTGTCACCTCTGGGTTTCAGGTCGTACGCGTCATAGGTGGAACTTTCACTGGGGTGTCAGGTAGTGTTGAAGTCAAGACCACACTGACCAAGACCAAGACATACCTGAGACCAGAGTGCTCAGAGACCCAGACCAAGACCAAACCAAGACCAAGACCAAGACAAGACAAGACCAAGACCAAGACCAAAACCAAGACAAGACCAAGACAAAACCCAAGACAAGACCAAGACAAGACCAAGACAAGACCAAGACAAGAGACATGCAGGGATCAAGACCATAAATATCTCTGATAAGTCATCATCTTGTGTGCAGGGGGCGTGTCACAAGACCGTAACACCGGGAAGGTTGAGTCTGTAACCTTAAAATTGATAAGTGGGATAAAAAAAGTGTAATAATCCTCTAGAGCTGAAGTGAGCCTAAAACCACAACCGTTTCCGCTCATTAGCAGGAAACTCAACAACATGAAGAGGATCAACAAACAAACCCAGATTAAACATGACTGTGTCAGCAGTTCAACTCATGCTGAATAATAAACGTTTAAATCTTTGAGTGAACGAGACCGGCAGCGCTGAGTGTGAGGCCGAAGAAATCATCAGCAGGATGTTTATCACACAGTTTATCAGTAGTTCATCAGTTTAACGATGTAATAACATCATTAAGAGTGTGATTTAAACCATCAGGTCTCTTATACATGAGGAGCTTTTACTGCTTTAGAAACATTCAAAGTGTTCCTCGACTTGTCCAGAAGAGGGCGCTCTGACTCCAGTTATTGACATCCATGTCTGCACCTTTAAAAATCTTTATCCTCCAAACATTAGATGAATGAACATTTAGGGATCGATTTGTTTTTCAGCTCAGTGGAACAGATTTTATTAAAAGACTTTCTTGTAAATTTTGTATTTTAAGGAGTTTTTTTCGGTTTTTAATTTTTTTTAAATGTTCCCCCTTCATGCCGTGTTTGTTTGAATCAAACATGTCAGTTCATGTATCTGCTGAGTTTGTTATGTTTTGACTTTATAGCTCTGGTTTTGATGAGAACTAAACTGTATTAATCATCATTATTATAAATGATTTGAATGCAGGTCACAGACACTGAACGCGTCACCCCTCTGCTGACGCTCCCTCAACATGTCTCCATCCGCTGACTC